CCATATTTAAAGGTAATATAACTTTAAAAATAGTCTTTTTTTCTTTTGACAAAACAGGGAATATATATTATAACTACGGAATATTGTTTGTTACATCACCATAAAAGCTAGTCGACTTAAGGACACTAATATTGCCTAAGTTGGGAAGTTTACAACAGACATCAGTTAATAGAGACTTAACAAAATAAACATAGTCATCCCTATCTACATCAAGCTTATTTATAACATAAGGGGGTGGCCTATCTAGCAGAAGATGGTACTTTGGATTCTTGAGAGCTTCCTTTGCTAGATTGTGCGCTACTTGATTTTCATACCTGAAGTTATGCTGAATTGTTGGATCCTTCAACTGGTGTATTAACCACCTGCAAGAAGAAATAGTCATGTAGTTAGATTCACATCCCTGATGCAACGCCTTGATTACCTCTGTTGAGTCAGTTTCTATAACTAATGGAATAAGCCCTTTTGTCATGGCTAAGTTCAGACCCTCCTTGAGTGCTTCTAATTCTGATTGGAGTGCGGATGAGGCTGGACATTGGTGTTGGAAACCCATTATCTAATGTCCGCTGCTATCACGAATAGTTCCTCCTAATCCTACCAAATTATCTTTTTCACGAAAGGCACCATCAATGTTGAACTTAAGAAAATCTTTATGAGGTTTGTGCCATGCAACGTTGATTGCATGGGTGTGAACACTCAATATTTCCTTTTGAGTGAGAAGCTTATATTCAGTGGCTAACTTAATAGAACTTCAAGGGAGAATTTGTTAGAGGTATTGTCAATATTGTTATTATTTCGTTTAATCCAAATATTACAAATGATAAAGGGAAATAGATCTATCCATGAGAGAAAAGGAGATAACATGGGAGTATTGAGGTCTCTTATACTAGTGAGAGGATTTCTAAGAAGGGAGGTATTAAAACCACTTAGTTCCCAGATTTCATGCACCGCTTTGCATTTAATAAAAATGTGCTCAGTTGATTCATTTTTAGTTTTACAGTCAGGGCAAATTGGGTCTATGTTAATACCAATGTATTAGAGGTAGGAATGAGTAGGAAGTTTGTTATGGAGACATTTTCACAGAATTTTTTTTTTATCTTATTAGGACAATGGAGATTCCATATCCAGTTGAAAATCAGGGTAGTTTGGATCTTATGGTGTAATAAGTTTGTAGCATGATTTTGACGTAAATTTTCCATCTCCTGTTGGAGCCCAGGTAAGATTGTCTTTGTGACAATACTTTGGAACAATTGACAGAATGTTATTTGCTAAGGGTTGAGGTAAGTCAAAGGATATTTTTTGGAGAACCCATGAGTTGTTAACCCAAATGTCCCTAATGGTGAGGTTGTTGACTTGTTTTGTAATTGGCCCTTCAATGGTTTGCTTAAGATTTGAAAAATTTGGAATCCAAATGGATTGCCATATGTTCATTTTTGAAAGGTTACTGAGGATCCAATAGATTCCTTTGTTGCAAATTTTCCAACCCTTCATAATGCTTTTCCAGATAAATGAGGTGCCTTTAAGATTTGTATTGGAGCCGTAAATGGAGGATAGGATTTTGACCCAGGGGGAATGAGTGTTGTGAATTAGCCTCCAAGAAAGATTTGCCAAATTGACAATATTTTTATCTTTGGCAGCATGAATGCCTAGGCCCCCACTACTTTTTTCACTAGTGATGGTTTTCCAACTAATGAGGTGAAGTCTTTTTTTTTTGTGATGGTTGTATCCCAAATAAAATTTCTTTGAATCTTGTTAATATGCTTGAGGATTGTAATGGGGAGGAAATTGTATTACATAATATGATTGGACATACTATTTAAAATAGAATTTGCTAGAGTAGTTTTGCCCGCTATATTGAGAAAATTTGATTTCCAAGATGCTAATCTCCTGAACATGTTATCTAGGATGAATTGATAGTCGGATGATTTAGGTTTTGTATTGGTGATTGGGAATCCCATATATTTCCCAAAGTTTTTGCTGATTTTAATGCCAAATAGTTTGGCTAGATATTTGGAGGTAGCAATGGGACAATTCTTGGAAACCATGATTTTTGATTTAGAGTTACAAATTTTTTTCCCCGATAGGGAGCAGAAACTATTAAGGCATGAGAGGATTGTAGTAGGGGAGTTACTATCAAGGTTACACACTAAGGTAAGATCATCCGCATAAAATAGATGGGATAGAGGGCAATTATTTTTCCCCATCCTAATGGGAGACCAACATTTAATGTCTATATTATGAGATATTTGGGTTGTTAGCATATCCATACAGAGAATGAATATATAGGGTGACAAGGGATCACCTTGTCTAATACCTCTGCTAGGTTTGAAAAACTTGCTTCCATTGCCATTTATTAGAATAGAGATTCTACTAGTGGTAATGCAATTCATTATTAGTTTGGTGATCTTAGGGAGAAATTTGAAGTGGCAAAGGGTTCTATAAATAAAAAACCATTCCAAACGATCAAAAGCTTTTTCAAGGTCGATTTTTAAAACCATGTTAGCTTTCTTACCAAGTTGTTTGTCCATTTTTAATATGAGTTCCTGAATGATAATAGCATTATCACTAGCCCTTCTGCCCTTTAAGAAAAGCTAGCTTGTTGAGGACTGATAATGTTAGTCAGGTGGGATTTTAATCTATTTGCAATCAATTTGGTAACCACTTTATAGATGGTATTGCATAATCCAATGGGTCGAATTTTTTTTAGGTTGTTAGCATTAGGTATTTTTGGTATGAGACAGAGGTAGGTATCATTGATTTCGTTTAGGAAAGTGGCTGATTCAAATGCCTTTAGACAAAGATTGGATATAAAGGGTTTAATAATGTCCCAGTATTTCTGGAAGAAAAAGGGGTGTAAACCATCTGGGCCGGAAGATCTAAAAGGTTTGAATGAAAAAATTGCATCTCTTATTTCATGAGAGGATATGGATTTGTCAAGAGATGAAAATCAATACATTTGTGACTAGGTGGGTCAGATTTGATAGAGCTCCAGTTTGAGGTATCATGACTTGTGGTAAACACTTGTTGAAAATATGAGTAAGTATGATCCATAATTTTTGATGGATCATCAATCCACTTTCCATCTAAATCCTTAAAGGAGATAATTTTATTAGTTTTTCTTTTATTGGTAGCAGTTAGGTGGAAAATTTTTGAGTTAGAGTCACCCTCGTTTAGCCATTGAACTCTAGCTCTAAGTTTCCAATAATCTTCCTCCATCCTAATGCAATTATTAAAATCTTTTTTGAGAGAGTCCTCCAGCTCATGTAGGAAGTGACTATAACCATAAACATTAGATTTTTGATTTCCATTTAGCCTAGCTAGTAACCTTTTCTTCTTTTTGAATATATCTTCAAAAGTGTCATTCTTCCAAATAGAGATCATATCTTTAAAAATATTGGAAGCGGTTGTAAAATCATTATTCAACCAACTGTTATTGACTATAGTACTAAACTTCGGGTGTCCACACCAAAAGGATTCTAATCTAAAGGGTTTAGGAAATACATTTTTCACTTTTGTAATTAATTCTAGGAGAATAAGGTTATGATCCGAGTATGTTTTAGGAAGGTGAATAACAAAGGCTTTAGGAAATATATTAACCCAGGAATCATTTGAAAAGATCTTGTCAAGCCTTTCCATGATAAGATCAGATCTATATTTCCTATTGTTTGATCATGTGTATTTACAGCCTTTAAAACCTAAGTCCATTAGATTACAATAATTAATTTTAGCCAAAAGTTTAGCTACCCGTCTCTTGTTAATAGGGTTACTTCCAAATTTTTCGTTGGCTTTCCAAACGTCATTAAAGTCTCCTCCTAAATGCCATGCTCCTTTATAGTTATCAAATATGTTAGTAATATTATCCCACATTTGATTCCTATATGTTATGTTAGTACTAGCATATATAGAAGAAAAGAGCCAAGGGTGACGAATAAGGGGTACCTCAATTAAGGCATGGATTTCATTGTTCCTCCTTACAAAATTGTTGACATTCACCAAGCTCGTATCACATAAGACATCCATACCACCAGATTGTCCCTCCTCTGGGACCTCGATCATATCCGTAAAACCAAAGTCGTTCATTAGATTGCCATGGCTAGTCATTCTAGTCTCCAATAAAGTGACCATGCATGGATGGTGAGTATCAATCATGTCGTGAAAATTTCTCCTAAAATCTTTATTGTTCCCTCCCCTAATATTCCAGAATATAATATTTTTAGCTTGATTCATTGATTGGGTGTGAGATTAGTTGAGACCATTCACTTGACTTCCTAGGAAAAAAATTGGATTCCTCCTTAGACTGGGTACTAGGATCATTGCTAGTTTCCCCACTGTTGGGTCCTGGGGTGGACGGATGTCCATTGTTCACTTGAAGAGTGAATTTTGGCAAGCTATAATATGCTTCTTCTCCCGCATATCCTCGAATAGAAATATTTTGATTTCGTTTAGGTTTGAGGATTCCACCATTGATTTCCCTATTAGGTTGATGTTCCTCCATTGGATTTCCCACCTCCTGGGGTACCGAAGCTTGAGGTTCCTGATGGCCCATATTTTCTACGTTTACTGGAATATGGGCTTGCATGGGTTTTGGTACCCATGGCATCAGTATTGGATTGATAGCAGTTATCTCCTGGGGAGGGAAGAAAGGGAGATCCAACCGCATGTTTTGAGGTAAGTATAGATTTTGGTGCTTGGACTAAGTTGTTGTTCATCCCCAGAGCTAGTGGTTGCATTATATTATTTACCCAAATATGATTCATATAGTTGCTCATTGCTAGATGGAGCCCCTCGGATACTAGCTGGGCTAGGAATTGAGGATTTTGGATTAGGATTATGGTCACTTGGCCATTGATATTGAGCTGACGAGAGAAAGCTCTCCCCATTAGACCCAGCTCTATCCAAGAAGTTGGATGATGGTCATGGGGTAATGGAGGTTGAGTATAGATTACTGGAAGATTTGGTTGTTGTGGAGGAAATGGGGGAAGGTTGTTCATCGTTAGTGATCGATGGTTTCTCAGAATTCAGATCAATCTGAACCTCCTCCAGGGATTGAGAGGGATTCTTGGCATTTTGGGAGGGATGAGGGTAGTGTTTTAATGTGTTAGGGATTGGAGAAGTAGGTATGATTGCACCTATTTGCATGCTATCTGAGAGGGTTAGCGTGCATGTCTTATTAGGGGATTTTGCACGTCGCCCATGTCCAGTGACATTTGTAAGGAGGTTTCATTTTGAGTGGTCGGGTAAGCCATAGCATGCAAATTTATTTTGGTAATTGATTGGTTGTTTGTGTTAATATGAGTATTAGGGTCATTATTAGATCTAATAGAATAGTTGGCACTAGCATTAGTGTTTTCAAGGGGGTTAATTAATTTTTGGACGTTTGTGGTTACAATTTTGTCTTCTAGTGGGATTAGAGGTGCATGAACAAAATTTATTTTTTGTGACCGGTTCATGCATACTTGATTAGTGGTATTATGAGTATTGTTGTTAGTAGTTTTTTCAAAAATTATTTGTTGGCTATCCAAGTGGATATTTGAAAAACGGTTTTGTGTTTCAATGTGATTTTCATCACTATAGTTCATAGAAGAATTTTGTGCAAGATTAATAGGGGAAGTATTGATTTTCCCAGTACTAGTGTCCTTTGGAATGTATTTAAATTTTTTAGCATCAATGTACTTACTTGTGGCCGTGTTAAATAATTTGACATCAATACGTGAACTTAGCTTTTGCTACCTGGCTGTTGTCCTGTTAGTGTGGGCATTATACTTTGTTTTTTGTTTCTTGTGAATGGCACTGTATGCCAACCATCTTCTTGAGCTGGTGACATGCTTTTATTGTTATCTTTAGGAAAATCCATATAACTGGCAGATGGTTGAATATCACCATCAATTTTGTATTAGCACATTTTGGTTGCATGACCCAATCTACCACATTGTTTGCATAAGTATTGGTCTGCTTCGTAATGAATTTGTTGTTTGTGTATTCCAATATAAATAAACTTCACAATCGGTTCCTCCATTGGAAGTTCTATGCATAATCTGGTATATCTTCCCCGTAAAGAAAATGATGTGCATGCATCCACTTTTAGTAATCTTTCTACGGCTCCTCCAATTTTTTGAAGTATTAAATCATCATAAAATTCAGTAGGGAGCTAAGGGAGTCTTATCCATACTGCTGTGAAATTTTGCACAGCCTCCATTGCAACAAAGTTTGGTTGCCACCTTTGTACTGAAAGAAAGTTTCCATAGATAAAGTATGGTCCCTTTTCGAGAATTTGGTTCATACTTTCTTCTTTTTGTAATTTAACGGTAAAGTAGTCATTTCCAAGATATATAAGAGGAAAATTTTCGTTTATTCTCCATAGATCTTGAATTTTTTGTTTCAACAATTGATGAAGAATTCTTTTTCCTTGGTGAGAATCTTCATGGGTGGTATATTCTCTGCCTGTCTTCCAAGGATATATGGATAGTAATGGGGTATTTGCCGCTATCGTTCATGGGTAGGGAATTCATATCACAGTCTTGAATATCCATATCCATACGCAGGGTAGGAGATGGTGAGGGGTCTGTGGTAATAATAATTGCATTATCTTGTTTCAAGAGTTTATCCCATTTTTATTTTGAAAGCAACACAATTGACTTCAACTACCTACTTGATTTGTCTTCATCACATTTGATAACGATGATGATGTTTCTTCTGTTCAGAAAAGCCGAAAGCATTGACTTGGGACCCGACTCACACCGCACTTTGAATCTCCTCTTTTCATTCTCCTTTTGTGCTTTAATCCACTCACATATTCTGCGTGATTCTTCACTGGTATAGATATTCTCCTGCTTCTGGTTCTTTATTCATACAAGTAAAAATTGCTCCTTTTCTATTATCAAGCAGTATCTAATTGCTTTTCTTGTTTATCTTCTCAAGTTGAGTCTTTTTTATTCACGAGCAAATTGCCATTTACGTCCATCTTTACTTGTGAGCAAATTGCCTAATTTTCTACATATTTTCAACAGCATACACCTACTAAGATCGTGCTAGCATTGCCGTTACGGGTTGCAAAAATTCTAAAAAAGATAGGGTAAGATCTGTATTAGCAGATCCTGTTGCACTTGCTTCTGAAACAATTTGTAAGTTTCTGACTTCTCTTAGAATAAAATTTTCATGCAATGAGAGTTTGCTTCCAAGTGATAGCATTGTGTCCATTTCTTGTTTTTCTTCTCTCCTTCAATGAATTAGCTAGTATAATAATCCGAAAACATTTACCTTTTCAGTCACTGTCAGTGAAGTAGAAGCTTTACTGAATCTATACAAGAAATTGAGCTGCTCTATCACTAACGATGGGCTGATCCAGAAGGTATCTCATCTGAATACGAATGTCCATCAGAAAGCTAATCTATTTAATCTTTATTTGTCGTCCCTGTCTTTAGACAAGAGGGGTTGCTCTGATGGTAAGCAACTTCCACTTCCAACCAAGAGGTTGTGAGTTCGAGTCTCCCCAAGAACAAGGTGAGAAGTTCTTGGAGGGAAGGATGCCGGGTTTCTATTTGGAAACAGCCTCTCTACCTCAGGGTAGGGGTAAGGTCTGCGTACACACTACCCTCCCCAGACCTCACTAAATGGGATTATATTGGGTTGTTGTTGTTGCCGTCCAATTTCTTAATAGCAGCTGTGACTGATTTTTCCTTTGTCGCCTTATTATAGGAAGAACTCTTGCTGGCACTTTTCAACAACTATAAGAAGAAAAACCTTTTTGCAGACAGGGTATGTTCTTTTACCAACTTCCGAACCCCCGGAGGAAGGAAGAATGGATATACTTAGGTTCATGGTCAGGGGCGGAGCTAGTGTCCAAATGGAATTATACTAGGTTGTTATTGTTGTTGTCGTTCCTGTCTTCTGTCCTTAGATTTTCAAGCTAATTTCTTAATAGCAGTTGTGACTGATTTTTCCTTTGTCGCCTTATTATAGGAAGAACTCTTGCTGGCACTTTTCAAGAACTATAGTGTGTGGGTTACGAATTCGGCCGAGCCCAATAACTTTGGTTTAAATCCTGTATTTGTCTTAAGAAATCTATTGGATATGTACAAAATTATTAGCTTTGAACCCAACAACTTAGAAGGACTAGAATCTCGAAACTATAAGGTTCAAATCCTAGCTCCGCCTATGTTCGTGGCAGGTCTAAAAGGGTGTGCACATGTCTGAGAGTTCTGCGTTCTTTATTCTGGAGTGTGTTTCTTGATTATTTAGTCGTTTCAGCACTCCCGAACCAGCAAGACTAATGTCTACTTATACCTTTGAGAGGTCCACTTATACTATTGATAAAGTCTCTTAATTAATAAGGCCCCGGTTGTTATATAAGATTCAATTCAATCTAACAAGCGGACTACCTTCGGCTACTACAAGATCTTTATAAACCAAAGAATGAGCCTACTTTACGCACTTCCGCACTAAGCAGGCAAGGCCAACTACACAAGCAAGAAGGCATCGCCTGTGGCTTCCAATCCAATGACAAGCAAAAGACGAAGAAGTAACTTACTATATTTGATGCCGAGCAGAATGGGCAAATTGACTTTGAAGAATTTGTACGAGCATTGAGCATTTTCCATCCAAGAACTCCTGAATCTGAGAAAATTACATGTGAGAAATGCACACCAGAAGTTAGAATCTTTAGGAATTCAAATTATTGTGTTTTGGATGCCTATATTCAGTAATTTCTTCTTGTTTAGAGCCTCCATTTCTTTTAATCTTCTGCCTATTCACAATGTTATAAATGTTGAAACTTTATGCTGCAGATGCATTTAAATTGTATGATCTTGGACAGGCTGGCTACATCGAGCGCGAGGAGGTAATTTGATATACTATTACATTTTCTTGCTTGATTATCTCCGCTTGGTCTATTCAAGTTTTTGCTGAAGCTCTTACCAAAGAAATGCAGAAGTCTTTCTCAGAGAATCGATTAGGCAATTTATAATGTTAAAGCATTTTACCATCAACCTATCAAATTACCAACTTGCTTAGCCATTCTAGCATATGTTTAAAGCATGATTGGCATTTTCAAACATCATATGGGCCTCGGTTGCAATATGGGCTAATTTTATGGATTTCAGGCATTTTGTGTGTGGGTGGGTNGAGTATCTATTCTCTGAAAAAGTGACAGTCGATCCCAATGTGTTTAGTTCTCTCATAGAATACCGGATTTGACGCAATATGAAGAGCAACTTGATTATCACACACTAGTTCCATCTTGCTAATTTCTCCGAACTTCAACTCCTTGAGCAACTGACTAGCTCACACATTGCCATAGTCATGGCCTGATATTCGGCTTCAGCACTAGATCGAGCAACTACATTATGTTTCTTGCTCTTTCAAGAGACCAAATTCGCTCCTACTAGAACACAATATCCAGACGTAGAACGTCTATCAAAAGGTGATCCTGCCCAGTCAGCATCTGTGTACCCAACAATCTGCTCGTGGACTCGATCCTCGAATAGTAACCCTTTGCGTGGAGCTGACTTTATATACCGAAGAATGCGAACAATTGCATCCCAGTGACTATCACAGGAAAAATCCATAAACTGACTTACAACACTCACCGAAAAAGAAATGTCAAGTCTAGTCACTGTGAGGTAATTCAATTTGCCAACCAACCTCCTATATCTCGTACGATCTCTAAGAGGCTTCCCCTGTCCAGGCAGAAGCTTAGCATTCAGATCCATAGGAGTGTCAACAGGTATACAGCCCAACATTCCAGTCTCCTCAAGAATGTCTAAGGCATACTTCCGTTGTGAAATAACAATACCTGAGCTAGACTGGGCGATCTCAATACCTAGAAAATACTTCAATCTACCAAGATCCTTAGTCTGGAAGTGCTGAAAGAGATGCTGCCTCAGATTAGTAATACCATTCTGATCATTGCCAGTAATAACAATATCAACAACATAAACCACCAGATAAATACACAGATTAGGAGCAGAATGCCGATAAAACACAGAGTGATCAGTTTCACTACGAGTCATGCCGAACTCCTAAATAACTGTGCTTAACTTACCAAACCAAGCTCGAGGGGACTGCTTCAAACCATATAGTGTCCTGCGCAATCGGCATACAAGACCACTAGACTCCCCCTGAGCAACAAAACCAGGTGGTTGCTCCATATAAACTTTTTTCTCAAGCTCACCGTGGAGAAGTATTCTTAATGTCTAACTGATAAAGAGGCCAATAACGTACAACAACCATGGACAAAAAGAGACGAACATATGTTACTTTAGCCACGGGAGAGAAAGTGTTACTAAAATCAAGCCCAAAAATATGAGTGTATCCTTTTGCAACAAGACGAGCCTTAAGACGATCAACCTGGCCCTCCGGGCCGACTTTGACCGCATAAACCCAATGACAACTAGCAGTACACTTACCTGAAGAAAGAGGAACAAGCTCCCAAGTGTCACTCGCATGTAAAGCATACATCTCCTCAATCATAGCTTGTCGTCATCCTGGATGAGATAGTGTCTCACCTGTAGACTTAGGATAGAAATAGTGGAGAAAGATGATATAAAAGCATAATGAGGTGATGACAGACGATGATAACTTAAATCGACATAATGTGGATTAGGATTAAATGTGGATCGTATACCTCTGCGGAGTGAAATTGGTTGACTAAGAGGAGACAAGTCCGCAGTAGGTGCAGAATCTGATGCAGGACGTGAATCACCTAGGTCTGATGTTGGACGTGGACGACGATGATAAGTCAAGAATGGTGGAGCTGCAGAAGGTTGAACTGGACTAGGTGGTGGAATTGGAGCTATAGGTGGTGGAGTTGCAACTGGAGCAGTGGGTGGTGGAGCTGGAGTTGTAGAGGAAGATGAATGGGAGATAGTGACTGAATCTCCAAAAGATGAAACTTGTAGCACCTCAGAAATATCTAAATGATTACCTGGACATGTGAAGTATGATTGCGTTTTGAAGAAGGTAACATCAGCAGACATAAGGTACCATTGGAGGTCAGGAGAATAGCATCGATACCCCTTTTGTATTCTCGAGTAACCCAGAAATACACACTTAAGAACACTAGGAGCTAACTTATCTTTTCCTGGAGTAAGGTTATGAACAAAACACGTGCTTCCAAAGACACGTGGTGGAATAGAGAACAAAAGTCAGTGGGGAAACATGACAGAGAATAGAACTAGATTCTAGATAGCTGAAAATGGCATACGATTAATAAGATAACAAGATGTAAAAATTGCACCCCCCCACAAAAACACAACGGAACATGAGATTGTATGAGAGGTACGAGTAGTTTCAATAAGATGTCTATTCTTTCTTTCAGCTACCCCATTTTGTTGAGATGTGTACGGACAAAATGTTTGATGAATAATCCCATGAGAGTTCATAAACTGTTGAAATGGGGAAGACAAATACTCTAGGGCATTATCACTACGAAATGTGCGGATAGAAACCCCAAATTGATTTTGAATTTCAGCGTGGAAGGTCTGGAAAATAGGAAACAACTCAGACCGATTTTTCATCAAAAATATCCAAGTGCACTTGGAATAATCATCAATGAAACTAACAAAGTAGCGGAATCCCAAGGTAGAATTGACCCGACTAGGACCCCAAACATATGAATGGACTAAAGTAAAAGTAAAAGGTGACTCTGCTCGATTATCAAGACACCGAGTGAAATGGGAGCGGGTATGCTTACTGAGCTTACATGACTCACACTCTAGAGTGGACAAGTGAGATAAACTAGGTACCATTTTCTGAAGTTTTGACAAACTGGGATGTCCGAACCATTTATGTAATAAATCTGGTGAATCGGTAACAAGACAAGTTATTGAAGGAAGACAAGTTGTGAGTCTATGTAATTGTAGGGATAAGGTAATAAAGTCCATCCGATTCACGCCCGGTACCAATGATTCGTCCCGTACTGCTTTCCTGTATAAAAACAAGGTCATCAAGAAATAAAACAGCGCATTAAGTGATTTGGCTAAGCAATTAACGACTATGAGATTAAAAGGACTATTGGGTGTATAAATGACTGAATCTAAAGGTAAGGAAGGAAGTGGGCTTGCTTGACTTATTGCAGTTGCCATGTTTTGATACCCATTGGCCATTGTGATTGTTGGAAGAGATTGAGAATACGAAATACTAGTGAAAAGAGATTTGTTACCAGAAATATGATCAAATGCACCTAAATCAATGACCCAAGACTCAGAAGTTGAAGATTAGGAGACACGAGTCACGCTACTATCTGTTTGAACAACGGAAGCTATCCCTGAAGATGTCTGTTTACATGTTTTGTACTGAAGAAACTCAATATAATCTGGTAAAGAAACCATCTGGATTGGATTCAATGCATTAGATCCAACAGATTGTGAGTTAAAAACTTCTTATACGAATGCCATTATAATATTGTGCCGGAAAAAGTAGAAATTTTCTGGGAATCACTGTTCACGTCAGAAAAATAAAAAGGTTGTCGAAATTTGATGAAACTTAAATGACAAGACTCCAAATAACCTCCTGAATAATTGTCCAAAAGAAGTTTGTCGGAAAAATCACTGTAGCTGCTGGAAAGTCCATGTAGTTGCCGAAAAAAATCTCAAAGTGATTGGAATAAAAAGAAAAAGGCATGAGTAGGCTCGGAATAGCCACGCGAACAGGCTGTCTGAAAGAAAAAATTTGAAATCTGGTCGGGAAAAGGCCACACGTGCCGGCGCGTGGGGAAGAACTAGCCGGAAAATCTGACTTCTGATGCGTGAGGGGTGTGTGAGAGGTCGGTTGCCGGAGATCTTTGGTGGGGTTTGGTTGCAGAAGCCTTGGGGACCCTGTGGTGGTGTTGGTTTTTGTACAACACCAACGAAAAGTGATTTTGTTACGGACAGCCTCTTAAGTCGCCAGAAAATTGCACGGAGACGAGGTCTTTCTTCCCGGAAGTCGCTGGAATGATGCACAAAGATAAGTTTCTCACTAATGCTCTAATATCATGTGAGAATGCACGAGAGAAAAATATTATTATTGATTAAGGTGTTGTGCAACCCTATTTATATACAGTGATTACATAATAATAGGTATCTACTTCCCGATGTGGGACACTAAACATGACTAACTACTTAACACAATGTACTCATAGCATACTTATTGGTTCCAAGTATGTATGTCTTATAGCTTGTGTTGTTCTATATTTTGCTTATAATCTTATGTAGTTTGTGCTAAGATTTATTTTTCTTTTGCTAATAAAGCAGTTGAAGGAGATGGTCTTGGCTCTTCTAGAAGAATCGGATCTTCACGATGATGTTGCTGAAGCCATTGTCGACAAGGTCAGGATTTCTATTCTGTTTGCTGTACCTTTAAGTCTCGTTTTATGCACTAAATCAATAATCCATCGTGCAAACATTTAAAGAAACAGATACAAAAGGTGATGGCAGGATCGTCAAAGAGGAGTGGAGAGAATATGCTGATAGAAATCCAACGTTGTTAAGAAACATGACTCTTCCGTATTTAGTGTAAGTTTTCAACATCTACTATAAAACAAGATCCTTTGCATATAATTTCTGGATTCATGAAACATTAGTAGGATTAAATGCTTCTCTCCTTTGCTTTAATTACACTTACGCGTCCTGGAACTGAAGCTGCTGGTCTCAAAGTTTCAGCTTCGAAAATTGATATGCTATGCAGTGGCAAAGCTAGAAATTTTTTAAGGGTATTCAATTTGAAAGAAGTGAAAAGAAATTCTCGACAAAGGGTGTTCAATATGTGTTATATACCTGTAAAATGTAATATTTTACCTATATATACACTGTAATTTTTCGACGAAGGGTGGTTAGTTGACCACCCTTATGACCATGTGACTTCGCCACTGATACGATGCTAGATATCAAGGATTAAAATCGTTATACACACATACACACACTAATATTATGCATATATTCATGCATCTGTTTAAGCTTCCACCGGATGTGTTGTATGCTTTGTATTGAAATTACTGGTTTCACCAATGATGAAGTGAGATCTTTCTTTTCTTCACATAGATACATAGGAAGAGTATACACTAGATTTCTTTTATTACTGTTTGCCAAATTTTATTCAGACTCATAAAATGTACTTTTCTGAACCAAGATACACTTTGACCATGGTTTGTGTTGCAATGGGCATGAGTTTGTCCAAACACTTGAAAACTCCTTCATATCTTAACTATTTCTTTACATGCTTTTTCAGGGATGTAAATTTAGCATTTCCAAGCTTTGTCTTGGGCACAGGATCAGAAGACTCAGAATTTACAGACTAATTGATTTGATAAGCGCCAGAATATATCTCCCAGTCCCGTGTAAATGGTTCATTAGTACAGAAGAAAACATGAAAGGGAGTCTTGGCGTAACTCGTAAAGTTGCTGCCATGTGATCAGGAGGTCACGGGTTCGAGCAGTGGAAACAGCCGCTTGCAGAAATATGGCACCTTGCGGCGCTACTTGCACGACGCTTTGCCGTTCCATTGCCAAAAGCCATCAGCCGCCACGAGCGACGTTCCTCCCGATGTTGCCCGCAACAACCGATGGCAATCGGCAACTTACTGAGCTTCGTCCCATGCGCACGACACTTTACGGCGCTACTTGCACGTCGCTTTGCCGTTCCATTGCCAAAAGCTATCAGGCCGCCGGGGGGCTGCGTACAATAGACTCTTGTGGTCCGACCTTCCTCGGATCTCGCGCATAGCGGATTTAGTGCACCAGACTACTCTTTTTAGTATAGAAGAAATCATTTGCTCTGATGTGTTTGCATTGCTATGTATTAACATATCATTTGTCAAATCATATATCTAAAATGGTGGCAAGGCGCTTTTAACGATCAAAACTTTGTTAATTATCATGTTGACATTTATTAAATTTAAATCAGTGACTTGATTCGCTTCAAAATAAATATTATTCAAAACAAAACGAAACATAAAGAGATTTGATATTAGTAATGCAGTATATTACATTACAGACTGTATTTGTTATATACAATTTTATCGGAGAACAATTTTTCTTAGACAACCAAATGAACCCCTAAGCTAAGTCCCATTTGGTCATAGATTTGGTTACTTTCTTTATTAAAAAAAATTTAAAAACATTATGATCCTATTTTGAAAAAACAAAATTCAAGTTCACATGGATAAATAATTTTCTTTCACTCACAAAACTTTAATTTTTTTTAAAATAAAATGCATATCCAAACGCAACTTCAAAAACTGTTTTTTCAAGTTTCAATCAATTCTACGAGTAAACGCTAGCTAAATCGCAATTACCTTTTCTAATCATCAAACTATTTCTTTCGTGGTAGTAGTATTAGATTACTGTATTGATGGTGTAAGTTTTTTTTTTTTACACAATTAGGTCACTTGAAAGGTAATTGCGCTATATTTATTAGAATAATTAATTCAAATAGCCGGTCACTCAACCGCTTAAACTTAATATAGTCGGTGAAGGTATAATATATGTGTATAATCTATGCATATGACTAGAAAAAATAAACTATGAATATTGTTATTTATTAACATCAATTAATAATATAAAATAAATAGTAAGTAAAGTATAAAATTTACACAGTGGTTATAACTTAGTGGGTGTTTGGATATAAGAATTATAAAATTCCAAATTATACGAATTTTTTTTAAGTGAAAATGATATTTGAAATTTAGAGTTGTGTTTGGACATAGAATATAATTTTGGGTCGTTTTTAAAGTTTTGTGAGTGCAAATTTTGAAAAATAATCTTTTAAAATTTCTTAAATTTTCAAAAATTTCCAAAATGCATCTTCAAGTAAAAATTAAAAATTTTATGAACAAACGCCAATTTCGAAATCTTTTGGAAGAGAGGAAAAAACTTCTTATGTTTGGGCTAAACCCGACTTTAGTAATATTTAAAAACAAATCATTTGTTTTCGGCGCTTACTAGATTTTGTCTGAAACCGATGATGTTTTTTCCTGCTCAGAAAAGTCGAAAGCATTGACGTGAAAATCGACAAACCGCACCTTGAATCTTCTCTTCTCCCTTCGACCCGTCTCAGGTATATATGCTATTCTTCTTCATTCTTTTGGGTTGCTCTGATCGTAAGCAAGGTGGGAAGTTCTTGAAGAGAAGGATGCCGGAGTCTATTTGGAAACAGGATAAGAGTAAGGTCTGCGTACACACTACCCTCTCCAGACCCCACTAAGTCACTACCCTCCCCAGACTTTATACTGGGTTGTTGTTCTTCTTCTTCTTTTGAATTTTTTTTAATGTCCATAGAAGTAAAATTTGGTCCCCTTTTTTTGACAGGTAGTAACAAATTCCTTTTGTTGTTTAGTCCCTCAATTTCACTCTTTTTAACTTTCATATGCTTCCACTTTTCCTTTCATGATCCATAGTTGGAATCAATGCTTTATTAGTTGGAAAAGTAAAAAAGATTGATCCTTTTTTGTTTTTCTTTATAATTGCATACTCCCTCTGACCTCTGTCCCAATTATATGACATAAAAGTAGTATATTTTTATGTTTAGAAATAATAATTTAACTTTAAACTTTTCGTCTTAATGAGATAATAATTATTTTTTGTTTCTTTTTCTTTTTAACCCCTCCCTAGGAGCTCCCCACCGGCTCCCTTGGTGACTCGAACCCGCAATCTTCGGATTGGAGGTGGATGATGCTTACCACTTGAGCGACCCTCACTTGTCTGATGAAATGATTTATAGCCATGTAAAAGTCTTTTATTTTTTAAAATTCATGTTAGTCAAACACAACCATATAAAATGGGACAGAGGGAGTACAATTTATTGAATGTAGAAATATTGTTGATGTGAGGATGAAGGTGTTATCTTTATGCTCAATGAAGCTTGTAGTAGAGAGAAATTGTTTGGGTTATTGTCATGAATTGGAAAGTGAAAAAAGTACTTTGGATTTCACAATAATGCAGATATAGTGTGGACTATCGGAATAAACGAAGTTAAAGGACAATTTGAGTAGTTAGATTTTGTTTAAGGAGAATGACTTGTTGGAAGAATCTGGTTAAAGGGTGTTTGAAGTAGTGTTTCTAAAAGCAAAAAGCGCAAACACAAGTACAAGCTTTAGTGGGCTTGAAGTGAAAAGCTGAAGGGAAAGGCACACTTCTTTGATGTGAAGTACACATATATAAAATTTAGTACTATGATAATCAAATTAATGACCCCAAGCTAAGGTTTAGTGATAAGAGTGTATTTTTTGATATGCGGGTTAGGGACATGTCAAGGACTCGAACTCTGTTGCAGACAAAAGCCTAGTTTTTAAGCGGAGAAGGGTTAAGCAGGGGCGGAGCTAGAGTTCCGGAGGCGGGTTCGCCGAACCCAGTAAATTTGATTCAAACCTTGTATTTGTCTTAAAAAATCCATTAAACAAGTATAAATTATTAATTTAGGACCCAGTAACTTTAAACGATTAGAATCTTGAGCCCATAAGCTTGACACTCTGGCTTCGCCTTTGGGGTTAAGGGGCGGGTCCATTACCTATCGAGTTTCGAACCGGTGCATCACTTACATACGATACTAATTTGAATCCTTAAAGTTCTTGTCGGCATCACTTTGCACATGACTTTTTGAAGCGTTGAAGCGCATGACTTCATAACCCTTGCTCCACATCTTATAGGTTTAGCTACAAAGAGGTGGGTGTTAGTAACATTGGTTTAGCATTCAAATTTTCATTCTTTAATTAATAAAGTCTAGATATATTACTTAGTTGCATTGTCACGATAACTATGTAATATTCTATATGCTAAGTGTCATCTGACAGTCCATGCCTTACGCAAACCTTAACTAGGATTTATGCTTTACGTTCTTTACTTGGCCTTGGCTTTGGTTGAAAGGGTCGCGGACAGAAAGTGATTCTCAAATGGTGTAATGTCCTTTTGAGGTGACAATGTCCACTTTAATGTTATATCTATCTCAGCATTCAGTATGCAAATTAGATTATACATCAGATATAAATACAGTTGAATGTTTAGCATGACGAAAGTAACGGAAATTTTTTTGACTGCTAGACTAATTGATAAAGTTGAAGAAATTTTTCTATTGTTAATCTTATCTTTGGCTTCTTCCGACTGTTTGTAAGTTACTTCAAATCTTAGTTTGATGAGGTTGCAATCCTGGTAATTAATATGTTATCCAAAACTGTATGCCTAATGTTCTGAATTTTCTCAACAGCTTATACCTATTAGGATCGTGCTATCGTTGTTGTTATGGGTGGCAAAGCTTCTAAAAAAGATACAGCAAGATCTGTATTGGCAGATCCCGTTGCACTTGCTTCTGAAACGATTTGTAAGTTTAAGACTTTTCCTTTGCTTGTTTAATTAATTAGCTAATATGATAATTTAAAAAGCTTTACTTGTGCAGTCACTGTCAACGAAGTAGAAGCTTTGCTTGATCTATACAAGAAATTAAGCTGCTCCATCACCAAAGACGGGCTGATCCATAAGGTATCTCATCTGAATTCAGTATGGCTATCAGAAAGCTAATAATTTTTAGCCTTAATTTGTTGTCCCTGGCTTTTATCCCCCGGAATTTCAAGCTAATTGCTTAATACCAGCTGTTACTGAATTTCCACAGGAAGAACTCTTACTGGCACTTTTCAAGAACCATAAGAAAGAAAACCTTTTTGCAGACAGGGTATGTTCTTTAACTAACTGTCAAAAACCCAGAGGAAGGAAGAACGGGAAAGATCGAAAAGGGTGTGTGCATGTGTTGGGGGTTCCGATTTCTTTGTTCTGGAGTGTGTTTCTTGATTGTTCAGCCGTTTTGTTTCTCAGCATTTCTCATTCTCTTCAGATATTTGCCCTTTTTGATGCCAAGCAGAATGGACAAATTGACTTTGAAGAATTTGTACAAGCATTGAGCATTTTCCATCCAAGGACTCCTGAATCTGAGAAAATTGCATGTGAGGAACCTAAACCAGAAGTTAGAATCCTTAGGACTTAAAAATTATCTTGTTTTGCATGCTTAGAATCAGTAAATTATTGTTCTTGTTACAATTTTAAAAATGTTGAAAACTTTTGCTGCAGATGCATTTAAGTTATATGACCTTGGGCACACTGGGTACATTGAGCGCGAGGAGGTAATTTGATATACTATTACATTTTCTTGCTTGATTGTCTCTGCTTTGTTTTGGTCTACACAAGTTGCTACTAAAGTTCTTATGGAAGAATTGTTTCTCAGAGAATAAATTAGGCAATGCAGAATTTTAAAGCATTTCACCATCAACCTATCAAATTACCGACTTGTTTAGTCATTCTAGCATATTTGTTGCTACCATTTGTTACTTTATTTTCAATGTTCCTTGAGCCGAGGGTCTATTGGAAACAGCCTCTCTACCTTCACAAGGTAAGGTAGGGTAAGGTCTGCGTACACACTACCCTCCCCAGATCCCACATGTGGGATTACACTAGGTTTTTTTTTTTTTTTTTTTTTGTTGTTGTTGTTGTTGTTGTTGTTGTTGTTGTCGCGTATGTGTAGAGCATGACAAGCATTTTCGATAAGGCAAAGGTGTATAAACTCTCAGTGTATTTTCTAGTTTTTGTGGAATTATGTGCAAATTTGGTAAGTACATTCTTGTCACGTATATCACATGTGTATGCCTACAAAGCAGTTGAAGGAGATGGTGTTGGCTCTTCTCGACGAATCTGATCTTCGCCTTTCAGATGATGTTGTTGAAGCAATTGTCGACAAGGTCAGGATTTTTATTCTGTTTTTGTGTAGCTTAAAGTCTTCATTTTATCGAAGTTAATGCAATTGTTAATTGCACTAAATCACTAATCCATCGTGCAGACATTTAAAGAAACAGATACAAACGGTGATGGCAGGATCGACCAAGAGGAGTGGAGAGAATATGCTGCTAGAAATCCAACGTTGTTAAGAAACATGACTCTTCCATATTTAATGTATGTTTTCAGCTCCTATTGCATCAAGATCCTTTTCGTCTTGGACTTGTTCGTATTTAATCCAACGTTGCTTTCAGCTCGCTAAATTGCATTCAGACTTGTGCATTACATTCGAGATCAAGATATACTGAGTTTTACCATATTTTGTGTGGCAATGTCACGAGTGTGTTCAAACGGTTGAACTCCTTCAGATTTTAACTGCTTGTTTACATGCTTTTCCAGGGATGTCAATTTAGCATTTCCGAGCTTTGTCCTGGGCACTGGCGCGGAAGACTAACTTTAAAGGTTAATTGTGATATGAAGAATTCTCTTCCTCTTAAATGGTGCATTGTCGTAGTGGAAAATCTGTTTTAATGTAGTTACTATAATTTTCTAACTTCTCTAGCCGAGGGTCTACCGAAAACAGTGTCTCTGCCCTTCCGGGGTAGGGGTAACGGCTGCGTACATCCTACCCTTCCGAGACTCTACTTGTGGGAATACACTGGGTTGTTGTTGTTGCTATAATTTTCTAAGAATAAAACCAATGTCCAAGTAGTGTCAAAACCTCGCCGAAATTTTCTTAAAAAAAATGAAAACAAAATTGGTCTTTTAGTTAGAAAAAAAACATATATAATACAAAAAAATATTTCCTTTAAATTACTCTCAAAATCCAAAAATATTTGTTTAAAAAATAATTAAAAAAAAAAGAAATTCAAAATCCAAAAATATTTTTCTTTTGTAGTATCTCTTTCATAAATTCAGACTAATAGTCCAAATGCTTCCTTAGAAAATTTTTCGAAATTTCAAAAATTGAAAAGGAGTTAAAATTCAAAGGAAAATATTTCTTTAGTCGTCTTTTCTTCTCAAAAAATAATTAAAAAAAAATCGAAATCAAAAAAAATATTTTCTCTTTTTCTTTGTAAGTATTTTATTCAAAAAAAGGGTTTAGTTTATTTCCTCTATTCCTGATCAGAACGAATTACGCGGGTCTGATTCTCACCGGATGTGAGATACGTAGGCAAACCTTATCGGTTCCGACCTCAATTTTCAAAAAATCCAAAAATATTTTTCATTAGTTCCTTCTTTAGAAATCTTTCCTTAGAAAATTGAAAGGAAAAAAAAAAGAAGTTTTCAAAACTCAAAAAAAGAAGAAGGTAGTTTCCTTCTTTCTGAAGTATTTCATACGGAAAAAGAAATAAAAGAAAAAAGATAATAATAAAATCAAAAAAAAAATCAAAATCCAAAATACGGGTTTTCTCTATTTTGAAGTATTTTCCCAAAAAAAAAACAAAAAAAAGAGAATCAATATATATATATATATATATATTCGTTCTTTTAAAGACTTTCCTTCTTTAAAAGTCTTTCTTTCGTAAATGTCATTGAATTAAAAATTAAAGTCCAAAAATATTTTCATTTTTCTTTAGAAGTACTTTTGTAAATTTAAAAACAAAAAAAAAACTCGAAAATCCAAAATATTTTCTTAAAAGTGCCTCTTTCGAAAATTAAGAGGCGACAGCCAAAATCCAAAGAAAATATTTTCTTTCTTATTTAGAAAAAGAGAGAACAAATGAAAATTCAACAAAAATATTTTTTTTTTACTTCTAAAATTCTCAAAGTTCCAATCAAAAGAAAATGAATTTTTAGAAGTCTTTCTTTCAAAAATAAAAATAGAGTCAAATTCAAAAATTCAAAAAATATATATATCCTTTTCTTCTTTTAAAGCATTTTTTTAGAAAAATTCAAAAAAAAAAACCTTTATTCTTTTAAAGCATTTTTTTTTAAAAAAAAATACTCCAAAAAAAAAAGAGTTAGTTTACTTACTTTATTCACGATCGCCCGAACTACGCCGGTTTGATTCTCATAGGGTGTGAGATACGTAGGCAACCCTCATCGGGTCCAACCTCCCCTTTTTCAGAAATAGCCAAAATGTTAGAATTTTAATTTCATCATAAATGAGTCGGGTGATGCCGTTTTATTCAAATGTAGCCGAATGTTCCCGAAAGGGACGCGCCGAAAGGCTGACTTTGCGTAAACAACCGTTTTTGGTCATTTTTTGAATTTTGACCAATTTGCCCAACAGCCTTAGAATCCTCGTCCCCGAGGCTCTGTGAGGCCGTGTTCCCAATGTCGGGCCACTATTTTGAAAAAAAAGAGTCATAAATAAATCAAGTGATGCTGTTTTTGTCAAAAACAGCCAAATGTTCCCGAAAGGGACGGCGGAAGGCTGACTTTGCATAAACGGCCACTTTCGATCATCCTTTAGAGTTTTGATCAGGTTGACCCTCACAACCTTAAAATCTTCATCCTCGAAGTGCTGAAAGGTCGTGTTCGAAAATCGGATCTTTCTTTCTAAAATATAGTCAAATCATTTTTGCTCAAATCACCTTAATAAATGTGCAGGATGAGCACAATGCAAAATGAACACTTGTTTCTTTATGTTTGCACTTGTTTGTCCCGAACTACGCAATATCTGATTCATGCGGGGTCATGATACGTAGGCAATCTCCATCGGATTCGATCATAGCTATAAAATAAATTGAGTGAAAAAATAAAGAAAAGGAGAAAGAAAATTGAGTGAAAAAATAAAGAAAAGGAGAAAGAAAATTGAGTGAAAAAGAGAAAAGAAAAAATAGTGAAAAAAAAGAAGGAAAAAGAGTGACAAAATAAAAAAAAAGGTGCAAAAAATAAAAGAGCGGCAAAAACAAGATCAAGAGTAGTTAAAGAGAGGCAGGAATAAAAGAAAAGAGGTACATAATGAAGAGGGCTAGTTTAAGGCCGGGATGAAACATGCAACCTGTTCAAACACATGGTAAAAACGTTTAACTGTTTAGGTGCATTGCATCCCAACGTGCGATTTCCTATATGTTAAATGCCTCAAAACTAACAAGGTTGTGTGTGAGAGTAAATTAGCCAGGTTCTGTTCAGGTGATTGGTTTTGTTGGTATGCGGTTATGAACATACAGCCCTCCACGCGGCCACAACATTATACACAAAACTGATCTCCACCTCCCAGAAATGCCCATCCTTACCAAGCTCCATATAGTCCCCAATCAAATGTTCCTCAGTACAATCCTCACTCAAGAGAGTCAGTCAAAAGGAATCAGTTCACCCCTATTGGTGAATCATACTCAGGCTTGTTCCAAAAGCTAGTCAGGCGAAGTCTGCTGCAGCCAGTGGCCCCAAATCGGCCAAACACCGAGTCCCCCCTCCCCGCATCGAGCTGATACTAGATGTGAATGCCACTC